TTGAGTATGGGTAATGATTATTTTGACATGTTCGTATTTTCTTGTTTTTTTAACACTCATAAATTTGAACGTTAGCTTTTGTATTGTTTTCATGCGAAGTAGAACATATCATGTTATGATTTTCCATTTCCATTTGAATCCGTGTCCTACATACCGAAAGCCAAAGATTAATAAAGATTAAGGAACGGTTACAGATAGGAGTAGAATTTAAGAAAGAACCCAGAGAAGCAGATCATACCGAAAGCCAAGTGTGAAGAGTTAAGATTAATAAAGAATAAGAAACGGTTACAGATAGGAATAGAAGCTAAGAAATAACCGCAGAAAAGCAGTTCAGACTAAAAATTTGACGTATTTTATTGTTTGTTTATATTTATCTGGTTTTAACGCCATCGTTATCGCAAATGAATTTTCAATGACAAAAGACTTTCTCCATATCTAGTAACTGTAATATACTATTAACTTGCAACTTAGTCCATTACGGAAGCGCTTGTGTTGAGGGACATCAGTGATATCATTACGAAAATCAAAGATAACTCTTTTCACTGGGGCATATGTCATAATTCAGTTCAGTATCATACTTTTGACCTATAAGCCATAAGCAAAATTCCATTAAAGTTATCAGAAACATAAACTGATCCTCTGCGTTGGAAAAATTCCATGTGTAAATTTATCCTAATCCTTTCAAACTTACGAAAGCCTGCTAATGCCAATGAATTTTTAAGTGATGGCCGCAACATAAAGTATTTTGGAAAAAGTGTATTGGAAATATCGAAAAAAACATATCCATTTTCCTACGAATTTCCTTGAAAATATCATTTCCATCATTTTACTTCCCCTTTAAAAAGTATAACTTTCAATGTTGATATCCGAGGGAATATTTATTTGTTACTTGACTTGCTTAAAAAATGTCAAAAATGCATATAAAAAGGTCAGAATCATGATGATATCCTTTAAAGGAGGGACGTTACTGACATGGACCTTAACATTGGGGCACCTGTTGTCTAGACGGCACTTTGCTTGGGCTTAATGCACCAGACCGTAAAAATATGATACGACGTAGTTGAGTACAAAAATGTACCAAGTATGAAAGAAATGTTTCATTTTAATCTTTTCTCGTGTTTCATGTAGCGTTCGATACAGCATTGAGTCCATGCTAAAATCAGTGTTAAAATTATTTACTTTAAAACATTGTAAGATATTCTGCCACTATATTTCTCTTATACCTTGCATAAGTGAAATAATGTGAAATAATAAAATAGGCATTCTGACTTAAATATACAGCTTATTCGAAACAGTCTCGGTTTGAGACTATTGTCAGAGGGAAGTAAACATTCCGTTTTCAGCTTATATTGTCTGTTATCTACGCTACCTACACGATTTTGCACAAAAGACGATAACCAGTCATTTACGTAAGCCAGGTGTTTCAAACACAAAACAAAAACAAACATTTATCACAGTATCAAATCGCAAATGCTATATCAAAGCATGAGCATGGAACACAGTATCAATACCCAATAGCTAAATTACAGCATAAAGCATGCTTTGACAAAAACACTGCAGTGTCGTCGAGAACCCTACACGAGTCTCGGTGTTAAAGAATAACATTTAGCTCCTGGTGCTGTTTTTATGCAATCAGTAAGCGTTTGTACCCTTTAACCAATCTGTTATTATGACATTTAACAACCACGTCTGTGACAACGAGGTTACTGGCTACGACAAGGAGTTTCCAGACAAAGAGGCAACTGGCTACGAAACGGGGTTTCTAGACAAAGAGGTTACTTGCTGCGACAGGGAAAGTTTATAGACAACGGGGCTACTGGCTACGACAGGGAGAGTTTCAAAGACAAAAAGCTACTGGCTACGACAGGGAAAGTTTCTAAGACAAAGAAGCTACTGGCTACGACAGGGAGAGTTTCAAAGACAAAGAAGCTACTGGCTACGACAGGGAAAGTTTCTAAGACAAAGAAGCTACTGGCTACGACAGGGAGAGTTTCAAAGACAAAGAAGCTACTGGCTACGACAGGGAGAGTTTCAAAGACAAAGAAGCTACTGGCTACGACAGGGAAAGTTTCTAAGACAAAGAGGCTACTGGCTACGACAGGGAAAGTTTCTAAGACAAAGAGGCTACTGGCTGCGACAGGAAGAGTTTCTAGATAAAGAATTTACTGGCCACGACAGATTTTCTAAGACAAAGAAGTTACTGGCTACAACAGTGAGTTTCTAAGACAAAGAGGCAACTGGCTACAGCAGGGAGCTCAATAGTAATGATAATTATACTACAGTGTATTAACAAACACAAGACTGTATTGATGTGGTAATGATAACTTGTTGTATATAAAAGGTTATGCAATCCTAAAAAGGTAAAGATACATTATCATGAATTACATTTTGTTGACTGAAGTTGATGAGATTACCATGGCAATGTGTGAACAAAATTTTAATATAAACTCAAAATTATTAAAATGATGAAAAAGTCCATCAAAAGAAACATTCACACGGAGTCCCATTGAAGATTGTGCAAACAATTTTAAAAACATCTTTAATCTAGTTCTGAAAAGTCACAAACTGTTCATCTCGTAAGCACGTCCTGGAGAATTTATGGTCAAGGGTTAAGGTGTTAAAACAAGGCTAACGTGATGACTCTGTTTAATACGCATTAATTACTTAATTATACAAGTTAATGGTTGTCAACACCTCGTAAACGTTACATTTATATCATACAAACAGTTAGCGCATAATAGTACAAAGTATAAAAACATTAATATTCTCGTGACATGTTTTGCAGACAAAGACAAAGTATAGTGCTTAACAAAAATAATAGATAACTTGGCACTCCCGACATGATAAGTATAACACGTCACATAATCTGACTACTTTATATAAACATCCAACATATGTCAAAAATTATTAATAAAATCAAATTGTCAAAGAAGCTGGATACGATTGTGGATAGGCTGCTTTTCGTCCTCGTCAGATGTTCAGATGTTCCGGCTCCGACAAGCCTGTTAAACTACTAATATCGATATGAGAACGGAACGCGTTGTTTTTAAATATTTCTTTATTTCATTATTTTGTTTTGAGATATCTCAAAAATCCATAAACAAATTACCTCTAAAACAATAGTTTCTTACATAGATAAAATATTTGCTTACTATTAAAGAAAAGTCGCGTTTTATTTTCGAGTTCTAAGGTATATGTGTTTCATACTTAGATGCAGATTCCTGACCCTATCTCAGACATTCAACGAATATCCTTAAATTTCTTTTTGAACAACAGATGTTTTAGGTAGAGGACTATTTTTAGGTTTTTACACTAGTTTCCATTTCAATCGAGACTGATAAAACATTTTAGTTTTCCGTGGTTGAAATATCAGATAAACGTAGCAACACTGTGGTATCATATCTCTTTATGAATTTAAAGATTTAAAGTGCATTGAATGAATATTAAGAATTTGGTCATAATCAGGTGTTTGCAGGGACAGATAGGAAGTTATGTCCCTGCTGTGTAAGGTCATTTTAATGTGTTTTAGAGAGGAGGGATACGGTGTCTATGTACCTAGTGTGTAAGGATAAGAGATTAACCTACTCTAAGGATCAGAGATTAGCTGACAGTACTGATTACAGACTTGCTTGCTGTAAGGATAAGAGATTAACTTGCTATACGGGTTAGAGACTAACCTACTCTAAAGATCACAGATTAGCTGACAGTACGGATTACAGATTAACTTACTGTAAGGATAAGAGATTAACCTACTGTACGGGTTAGAGATTAACTTACTGTACGGGTTAGAGATTAACCTACTGCACGGGTTAGAGATTAACTTACTGTACGGGTTAGAGATTAACTTACTGTAAGGATTAGAGATAAACTTACTGTAGGAATTAGAGATAAACTTACTGTAAGGATCAGAGATAAACTTACTGTAAGGATTAGAGATAAACTTACTGTAAGAATTAGAGATAAACTTACTGTAAGGATCAGAGATTAACCTACTGTAAGGATCAGAGATTAGCGGACAGTACGGAATACAGACTAGGTTACTGTAAGGATTAGAGATTAACCTGCTCTAAGGATTATTAGAGAATAACTGATAGCACAGATTACAAACTAGCTTTCTGTAAGGATTGGAGACCAGCTCACTTTTAAGAGCAGAAACTTCCTCATTACAATTATTCTAGATAAATTGATTTTAATGTGAAATTAACAATCGGGATCGTGTTGATAGTACTGACAACAACAATATTCCGTAAGCTTGTGCATTTCCTACCGTACTAGGTGCATTTTTTAAAATTGTTTTATCATTGTTTAATTGTGATATAACATATTCATCGTCTTTTTCCTACTATCATAACCTGTAAAATAGCACTTTTTATGGTATCGGTACATCTCCACACATGTATGTAGATTTTTTTCAGTATTTCTCCCTTCTCAGAGCTGTATTCATTATTTGACTCTACTGCAGTTAATTCTAAATATGCATTGAAACCAGTTATTTCCTTGTTCTTTTGTATAATCCTGATAATTTGTTGAAGGTTACATATCGTCGACAAGTTACACCACTAAGTGATACAAACAACCACGAGTGTTTGATGTCTCAAGTTCTACAAATAATGACCTAGGTAGTATTTCATCGTTTATCTCAGCGATCGCTTCCTGATAATCGTCTTAATTATTTCTCAAATTTATTTTTTGATTTTTTTTTTTTTTTTTTCATTTTTATTTTTTGATCTTCCTTGTCGCTTAAGACATTGAACATTGTAATGATATTAGACGAATGTTTTCTATTTTACTGTTATTTTTGTGTCCTCTAGAGATATTTACGAAGGTTACATTGCATTCTCAAAGCTAATAATTAATAACTTTATACATGCAAGAGAACAAAAAGATTACAAATGACGTCAAAGTCACTTATTGATATATAGGGGAAATGTTAGTTTATATAGAGATATTGATTTGAAGTTTTCATTTTTAACTTTATTAACAAAAAAATCATGACTTACCCATCATGGAATTATAATTGTCAGCTCCTCCCATAGCCATCATCTGAAACATTCCTCCTCCTCCCATTCCTCCCATTCCTCCTCCTCCCATCCCCCCACCCATGCCTCCTCCTGCTCCGAACAAATCTCCAAACAAAAATCCATGGCAGACACCGAACAGAATGGTAGAACAGAGCCAGGTCACAGTGATAACAGAAGAGTACATCTTGGTTCTATAACAACACACTGTATACCTGTTCTGTATTGAAAGTTTTCTGTGGGTCTGCAGTGTACATCATTTACCAGAAACTTATATACCTGCATAGGGACATCACTCCATAACAGGTAACTAAGGATCTTGCCTGTTTTTCATTGGAGGAAGAGAACGTAGTTTTAACGTAATGTCTGACAGATAATTAATAGAAAAATAAATATATGAGACAAGAAATGTGTCTAGAGAACAACCGTTAAGATCTGTTTGATACTGGCACGACAACAAGAGTGGTTTAGTTTTATTGTTTTGAAATATTTAAACAAAAGCTATAAAACAAACAAAAACGTTTTATTTCCAAATCGCGTTACAATAAACACAATAATATGTAAAAATATTAATAAAGAAATTTGGTTTACGCGTGATTGTATGAATTTGTGCAAAAATAAAAAAATATGTAAAATTTAAAATTTCCGTCACCGTTCCTACGAATGTTTTCCTATTTCTCTATAATGTATGTATTTTCTTGTTTTCCATCTCCGTCAGCACGTTAATTTTTAATTTCATATCGACTATATATTTTAATTTCACAAACTGCTGAGTACGATAAAAAAACATATTAACGAAAAATGCCTACATGCGAACAGAATCATAATCGAAACTCAAATTCAATTAATCTATGGAAAAGTATTAACAAAGGGAGGATTTACACGCCCAAGTTCTAAAAAGGTGTTCAGGAAGAGTAAGCGTCTTTTGCTTCATCAACGACACCCGTGTTGTCAAGCATCAATCAAAAAACCATTGAACAATCAGGCACACACACGATTATCAAATACATCTACCCCACCATGTAATTATTTTACCAGTAAAAGTCAGAAGTGGCATAGTAAATGTTGAATAAAATACCTGTTATTATCCATTTTAAATTATACTCTGTATTGAAAACATAATTACACAAAGTTTTATTGCTAAGCAACACTGACTTTTTCTTAAATAAAAAGAAATTACCTGTAAAAATATGGCAAAATAAAATTCATCAGACTATCACAATCTGCAAAGTATTATTATATAAGCTTTCTTATACTTAAATTCTCAGAAGCTTTCAAGCTTACATGTTGCACTACTTACGGTATTTAACACGTTTACTATAGGTTCTATAAACAAATAAGGACAATTCTGATTATTGTGAAATGTACCTAGAAATGTCAAGACAGACCTCGTAACACTTGTCAAAGCCAAAGTAAAACCAGATCACATGGTCAGTCATCTCATCCGAAAAAATCCAAATCATGTAAGAATCATAACGTATAGTAAGACTTGTAAATTTAACATGTGTTGGTTTCAGATGCAACATTTTGCCGGGGTGTGTTGATTTAGATGCGTTTTTTGACCGGAGTAAGTTTATTGTTGATTTAGATGCGTTCTTTGACCAGGGTGAGTTGAATTGTGTTGAATTAAGATGCGTTTTTTTTTTTACCAGGTTGTGTTGGTTTTAGATGCGAGTTTTTGACGCGTGTGTTGGTTTCAGAAGCAGTTTTTTCCGAGGTATGTTGGTTTTAGATGCGAGGTTTTCACGGGGTGTATTTGTTTAAGAAGTAGTATTTTTTTTTTTTGGGGGGGGGGGGGGGGGGGGGGGGAAGCAGTTTTTTGTCGGGGTGTGTTGGTTTAAGAAGCAGTTTTTTGCCGGGGTGTGTTGGTTTTAGAAGCAGTTTTTTGTCGGGGTGAGTTGGTTTAAGAAGCAGTTTTTTGTCGGGGTGAGTTGGTTTAAGAAGCAGTTTTTTGTCGGGGTGAGTTGGTTTTAGAAGCAGTTTTTTGTCGGGGTGAGTTGGTTTAAGAAGCAGTTTTTTGTAGGGGTGTGTTGGTTTAAGAAGCAGTTTTTTGTCTGTTTGAAGCAGTTTTTTGCCGGGTTTGTTTTTTTGTGTGTTGTGGTTTAAGAAGCAGTTTTTTGTCGGGGTGAGTTGGTTTAAGAAGCAGTTTTTTGCCGGGGTGAGTTGGTTTAAGAAGCAGTTTTTTGTCGGGGTGTGTTGGTTTTAGAAGCAGTTTTTTGTCGGGGTGTGTTGGTTTTAGAAGCAGTTTTTTGTCGGGATGTGTTGGTTTTAGAAGCAGTTTTTTGTCGGTATGATTTTTCCACTCTTCTGTGACACTGTGGAAATCTTTTTATCGCTAGATTAATCATAATTCTGTCACGGAACTGTTTTTCGGTATAAATGTTGATTTTTTTTAAAATATTGAACCAATCACATGTATCGATATGTTAGAGGATGCATCAACTTTTAGTTATCCTTCGCTGAGATTCATAATCATGACATATCCGATTTCATTAGCTGATGAGCTCCAAGTACCGTGCAAACATAAAAGTTATGTTCATGGTCGACACAATAATCCTTTTCTATTCCAAAGATACTTGCAACAACGAACAGCGAAGAGGGAGTGGTATTTTGCTGACAAGATTAGGTGAAGCTGCCTAGATAATCTGTGTCACTAGAACAGCAGAACATGGCTGTTCCCTCCCATGTACGTAACAGTTCTACTATATGATTTGTGATAAATCGTGTTTACATATTTTCCGACTGTGTGTCATTCATCACAATGCTTGCATGGACCTTTTGTATTAAGAGTACACCCTCAATTACAGCAGACATGGCCGAATACATGTAAGGCTGCATACCTGTCCTGAGGTGGACATGAAAGGTCAAGCTGGCGATTTGTACTGTCAACTAATGGTGCCCAGGCGAGTTAAATGATATGTCAGAATAGTATTTGTTTACCGGCAAGACATAGATTATAAGCAGTCTCTCGGGACACAGTTGACCTCTGTTGACGATAAGTGTCACGTGCATTATTTATAGGTTACTATACAGTGTATTTAGATAAATCGTATGGGCTATGAATGTTTCTTAACCATAATTCATTTTTACAGGAGAAATTGTTTTAGCAAGCTGACCGACTTCACCATGTGTATACTACTTCCTGAAATAAATCCGCAATAGTGTCGTCTATTGTTGCTGTAGGAATTTCTTAGTAAATACGTCGAATCTTCACTAAAACAGTAAACAAATTGATTCTAAGGCATTTAACAAAAAACAATTTTATAAAAACAGGGGTCACTCATTTTAAACATTTAAGGATTGTACAAAAGACACACAAGTGAATAACATCTTTTAATACAAATTTAGAATTAAATACAATAGAGTCAAACAATCAAACTGCACTATACAGCTGTTTCGTCCTTCTAGGACTTCACAGTGATGATAAGGGCCTATCTTCAGAAGCCTAGGAGGCAACTGATGAAAATCAAAGGTGATCGAAAGAAAAGTGAAAAATCAAGACGGGAAGGTGCACAAGCCCCATAATTAAATAAATTGGGTTCTTTTCATATATCAGATAATATTAGAACAACGTGAAAATAAGATAAGATTTACAATTAATGCTTTATAAGACATTTAAATGTTTGATATTGGCATATAGCATTAACATGGAATAAATGGTAAATGGCGTAATTGATTTCCCGGGTGTATGCTATCGGGCTGTATTTATTCTATACCATTTACTGACAAGCTTCAAACTTATTTTATTTCGTTTTCTCGTTTTTCGTTATATCGAATTATCAATTCGTTTTAACGAAATGGTATTTCGTTTTTTTCGAAATGATATTTTGTTTTAAAAAATCGTATTACGTTTTCTCGAAATATTTCTTCTTAACGAAATATTATCTCGAAAAAAAAAATAAGTATGAAGCATGTCAGTAAACGAGTTCCGCAGTATATCACAAATATGACAGAATATTTTTTATTCTTTTTCAATTGCAAAAAACAGGTGCAAAAACAAAATATAGATATATTGTCATACGAGAAACCATTACTTTTCATTTCGTTATATTAATTGCCGGTCCAAACATAAAACAAAGTGATGATCAAGAAGTCAATATCAGTTTCTTTGACGTCGGATTGTTTGACGTTACGATTGAAAACCAGAAAACGCCATGTTGATTTGGCCGCAGTTTAAGTGGTATTCTACCGTTTTTATGCTGTTATCTTGTAAGAATCGCGTACAGAACAGTTTAATTCACTAACTTAGGGAAAACCAGAAATGCTTTAAAGGAAAACCAATTAATTCAACTTCCCCTTCGTTTGCGTCTGAAGAAGAAAAAAGGGCGAATTTCAATGCAGGGATCAGAAACCTGGACTGCAAATTTCATCACTAGTGATAACAATACTGATCAATTCCTTTACAGTGTATTTCATCGGTAAAAATGTAATTAGTAGATGTTGATCCGTGATAACATGGACAACTTACAAATCATTGAAGATGGTATTCAAGGGAGGTAACCTTTGTAGACTTCAAACAAATAACTATGAATTTATCGTTTATATGTCTATTGCGTAATAATGGGTTGAAACTGACTTAAATTTATGTATGTATTCATAGAATCCTTGATTTAAACACATTTTATTTTCTGTAGCTGATGAATGGATCAGAGACAAGTTCTAACAACTTATGAACTCTTCTCAATAAATAAAATTACAAATAATTAATATACTGCACGTGACACATACTTATACTATAAACATGGAAATATGTAATTCATTGACGTACAATTGTAAGTTTAAATCGTTTATCTTCATTTTTCATGAACTATGACATAAAATGACATCGGAGATTATATCCGGCCTACCATTGCCGAGATATAAGATATACTAGCTGTTGGTCTCGAGAGATCACTGTTAATACTAATTGTCTAAAATCAATGGAACGAATGGATACTTCCGTATGCACATACGTCAGCTCCAGATCTGTGGGGAAAATATTAACATTCATTCTTACAGCTTATACGCATATAAGTAACGTAAATATATGTATATTAAGACATATCTAATATGAAACTGAGCTTTAAAAATACCACAAGATATCAAATATTATTTAAAATGGTCAAGTTTAAAGTTTGATATAGTTCCCTTTGTATTTTGTTTTGTCATGTATTCTTTCACACGAAATTCATATGATATATTTTCTACATCATGAAATGTGTACCATAACTCATTCCTTACTACGTTATTCGCGGCAAATACATGTATATCAATCCTGTGG